GGCAGATCATGCCAGGCGCATGGCTACCGACTGAGACGGCATCACGCATCTTCAGTCTGCCACAAATGGAACTATCTTCAGATTCCCTACGATCAAAAATGTGGCACCTAAAGTCAGCTGATACCAGAGCTTTCTCTGGCAAAGTCGCCTTGACGATGAACTCAGTCACGATCGGCTCCGTGACCTCCTCGTCTTCTTCTTCAATGACGAACTTCTCAGGATCTGGGAGCCATGCGTCTTTGAGCTTGCTCGCCATCTGCTTGACCATGGCCACTGAGAGCTCCTTGCGCTGCCGGGCGTACTTCAGGACCAATTGGCTCGGATCCTTCCAATTGGCCTGCAAGCCGACGATCTTGTCGTCGACATTCGCTTTCACCGCCTCCGACAGCATGGTGACTCTCATAGAGTGCCAAGTGATCACCTGGATGCTTCCTTCCAGCTGATCAACTTCATTGGCCGCCACATAGCCGAGCTTGGTTGCTTCTGCAAGGCCCAGGAGCATAAAGTGCTTGAGCCAGGCCAATCCTCTCGAGTATGAGATAGGAGCTGCTGAGAACTCTTTCTCATTCTTGATCTCCCAAATAAAATAATCCCTCTCAGAGATGAACGGCTGGAAGATCTTCCACCCTTCTTCGAGCCAGGCATGGTCCGACATAGAACATGCGGGCACTGCGAATCTTGTGCCTCGCTTCTTCCTTTCGACCTTGGTCTGCCATACCACGCCCAGGAGAGCGTCCTGGTTCATCTGCAGTGATAGCGGGGCTACGTGGATCCCGTCGTCGAACCTGAGCGACGCATAGATAAGGATGAGCACCCACCACACGAAGATCGCAGCTGCATCCTTCTTCTCCTTGATGAGCCTCATGCAAAGGAGCTCAAGGGCAAGAACCATCTTCGGCGGCACAGGGACCGCCTCTTTGAGCTCCTTGCCCCGCAGGTTGTAGACCTCGTCGATGATGGCCTTGAGCTGCGGATCTGCCATGTTCGGGGTCTGCATGACGAGCCTCTTGCATATCCACCCCAGTGCGTACTTGAACGCGGGCAAGATGGAGGGACCGCACCCTTGATCGCGTAAGTGCAGTGCATATCTCATGACTGCCACGATCGTGGGCGGGTACACACGCAGTCCGTGGCCGATCGACCACTCTTCAAACTTCTCCCAATATCGAACATTCTGCCTGATGGTGCGGAACCCGCCTGCCTCAAATGCCAAGCTCTTGAGGCGAGCTGCCTCAGCCGGCAACAGGCCAGCGCACCGCTTTGCATCGTTGAGCCCAGAGGCCGCTCCTGCGCGCTCGCAGATATTTTGGAGCCTGAGCCCCCACTTCTTCCTTTCGGAAGCTTCGACCACCTGGATAGATAGGACCTCCTCGATCGGTCCCTGACCCGAAGGTCTGGCTCCGACTGCCGGAGGAGCAGCGATCGACGCCGGCTCAGCGTACCCATAGCCCAAATCTACCGCTATCTCACGGCGGATCTTCTCCGTCGATCTGGACACCATAGAGGCCAGGACGTTGACCATATCCAGCCGACTAAGGATCTGATCCATCACCTCTTGTTTTTGGGTCAGAGCAGACAGGATTAGGCACAGCTTGTGATCCGCTGTATCCCCCTCCCCTTCATCTGCAAGAGACAGCCATAGCTCTATACGATCTAAGTTGAGCTCAGCTAAAACCGACCTAAAAACTTCATCAAAGAGGGGTAAACAGAGAAACCGGTGGATCGACCGATCCATCTTGAGCAACTGAGGCCCCGGGAGCGATCGCCCACAGCCCGTGCATGATCAGCACTGGGGATCCAACCTGCAGTGCCGGTCGATGGGAGGATCTACCCCAAACGACCAACCCGCTGGCTGTTGGCAGAGGATCTCATCGGGACTACCTGGGGATATGATCAATCCCAATAGTGAATCCCGAAAAGTAACCTAATGAACCAACAGGAACAACATCCACCAGGGCAAATGAACAGCCCTAAGAGATAAACTGAAATCACATGAACTACCATCATCAAGATCATCAGCAAGAGGATACGATCAATTCAATAAAAAGGACCCTCGTGCGATCAACATAAAAACTTATGGTCATGGGATATGATCAATCCCTAGACTGAAAACGAAATCAAATAGACCCTCGACCCTGGATGAACCTAGCCCCCAAACTTAAACCCTGATCAGGAGAATCAGCCTAATCTGGGCCTAAGTTAACAGGGGATAACATGAGGTTAATCCAGGACTAAATGGGGGGAACCAAACAGCTGAACAGCCTACATCAACGAACCCAGGAACCCCTACCCTGGATGATCACCAGCCGGCTGAGGCTTAGGGAACATGTGGTGAACGACAAAGGTCATGATCAAACCCTTGAAGTTTATAAAATATATGACTGCGACTATAAGTCAATGTGCTAACCACGAACAAAGGTTGAACCACACGTGAACATGGGCGATCACCACCATCACGTTCCAACAAACGTGCAGACCTGTTCATGCGCACTGCATTGATCTTTTTGCCGCGACTTCGATTTAAATATGCCCGTCGTGCGGGGTGCGATCTGACCTTCTGCAGATCTGCATGAAAAATATGGAAAAATAAATAAAAAGATCTGACCTACTCCACGACGATCTCCTCCTTGTCATCCTTGGCAGCCAGACCCGGCGGGCCAAAAGACTGAGGAGCTGTGGCTGGTGTCGATTGCCCACCTCCCTCGTTGGATCCAACTGCAGGAGTGCTGTGAGGAACTTGGCTGAGGACAGGACGATCTGCCACCACTTCTTCCTTCACAGCTCCCTCGACCCAGAACGACAAGTCAGCTGGCGGAGTGGGAGGATCTGCGTCAATCTCCTCGATCGTCGCAGTCGATGCATTGTACGATCGCCTGGAGATCTCCTCATAGAACAACCGGGGCGTGAGCTGAGCTGTGGATCTTGCAAACCTGCGATCGCAACGGGCGCGATCTCGTTCGTCGTCCACAACGTGACCACGTTTCCCCTCTTGAGGATGCTTGGTCGCAAAGGATCTTGAGTTGAGCTCGTAGTTGGCTTGCTGCCGAACTGGCACCATCTCTTCCGATCCTCTTGCAGCACTGGACCTGTTGGCGACCTCCTCGGCTGAGCTCAACCATGCCTCCCCTGTCAAAGAGGGGGGACCTGTGGGAGCTTTCACAGCCTCGTCATGCTGCATCTCTGCCAGAGCTTTGACGGGCACGACCTCTGGATCTCTCACCAACAGCTTCGACCGAGCCTGCACGTGGAAGTTGCCCTCCTCCATGCCGGGGATGAACACCACCATGCTGCCCACCTGATCTTCACTGTTGGCGATCGACGATTCCCACCAAGTCTGATGAATGGCGGCGAGCTGCGCGAACTGCTCGGTCTGCTCGGGACCTTCCACTCGAGCTCGATTCTCCCTCACCGACTGGATGGTCTTGATCAGAGTCGGTCCGGAGATATGTGACACGGTGAGCCATGTCCCCGGGACCGAAGTTCTGGAGCACTTCAGGTCTATCCTGTTGTTGGAGTCCCTGAACCGGAACTCCACGCGATCAGCGTCATTGCCAACTGCGTCTGCTGTAGACCTTGAACAACACCGAAGCTCAAACCGCAATCGGGCAGAGTCGCCTGCGACCACGGAGCCACGGGGTCCCACCGAGTAAGTGCGACCACCGCACTCAAAACTCAGAACTGACACCCTGTAGCCGATGAACACGGCGATCACCACCGAGAGCCTCGGCTTGCCCTGCTTCACTTCTCTGATCAGGTACTCGTCAACGAACTGTTGTTGAACTGTCAGATCTGTGTCCGATCTGAAGCCCCTGAAGATCCAGTGGAACAGGATTTCATTCCCGTTGTAGATCTTCAAGTCTGTGTAGCTGGCCGAGGTGTCCCTGAGCATAGGCCACGTGAAAGGCTGAAAAGCCTGGTGTGACAGAGCTGACGCTGTCTCCCCATCCCATCCAGCGCACGTGGTGCCAGTCTCACTCTCGAGCGAGAGCGCCAAAACCACCTTGATCCCGTCCAGCGTATAGTTGGCAAAAAGAGCCACTGAAAAACCTGAACTAGGCGGCATCACTTGGTCTCTCTCCGTGAGCACATTGATGGAGCTGGCAGCGTTTGCCATGATCTCTGAAACAAGCCAAGCCTGAAAAGGCGACACCATCCTGTCATCGCGGTTGTCAACGACCACGATCGAGGTGTCTTCAGGGAACTTCTGGCCTTCATAGATCGGCACAAGGAACCTCGGCATCTTGACCTCGTAGGGATTGTGGGCGCTGTTGGTAGATCTACCGTAACTTCGGCCCCACTGATCGTCTTGTGAGCCCCATCCACCGTCAGAGCCGCGAGCGCCACGATAGCTCGGCATGGCAAAAGAGCCGGTAGAAGGGTTGACCACCCAGGCCCACAATTCCCAAAAGAGATCGCTGATCAGATCTTGAGCCAAAATGGCACCAAGATCTGATCAGTGCCACTGACTCAAACGGGGTTGATCAACCCCACGCTCTGTGATCACAATAAATGAATACACAAAAATCTCTTCACTGAACCCGATCGGGTAAATAAAAATAAAATAAGATCAAACGCAACCAGTGCCACGAACTGTAACATTGATCCACTTATCCCTCACCAACCAACCGTAGATAAGTGACCATATATGTATGATATGATTATATATATATGGTTATAGTTATAGTTGTATATGATGTTAATATCAGTAGATTTAATGTTCAAACTATCTTGAGATATGATGTGAGATTTGAAGATGCTGATTGGTGAGAAAATCACTTGCAACCATGAAAATTTCAATTGGATGACCATCTGACATCATCTAACTATCTCCAAAGGTCAAACACCAATTTTGGCCCCCCAGCTGGGTTTCTCCAGACATAGGGTGGGTACCACCAAGATTTCCCATTATAATATATATATATACATATGTATAATATCCCCATAAAGTGCCTTGTCATCTTCATCAAACCAGGACCCCACAGTCATTCGGGCACCCACACTTTGTCTATGCTGCGACATCGCAGCGTGACTTGGTTCGGAGTTTGGGCGGCCAAATCCTGCGAGCTCAGGAGGTCCAAAAAGGCGAGAGGCGTATCAGTGGATCAATGGTTTCTACCCTTACGGTGGGTGTGTAAAGTCTATATTTTATCATATAATATTCCAAATATATACGTGTATAATATAAATATATATATATATACGTATATGTGTATATATATATATATATTATGCAATTTTATGTAATACACACACACGCATTGTTATAATATGTTATAATACATACACATTATATATGTATTCCAATGAATCAAAACAAAGTGTCCAGCCCTAGGATCCATCTCCTCCAGTTGACATCGACGCATCGCCAAAAGAACCAGCCATGGGCCCCATGGGCCCCATGGGGGCCATGGGGCCCATGGCTGGCGGCCCATCCCCTGGTGACTCCCGAGCTCTCTGGTAATGGCTAACATAGTTATTGAACATGCTCATTTATAGTTGATTTACCCACTAAAAATGGTGAGTTTTCATAAATATAACTGGTTGGTGATTGACCTACCCCTCTGAAAAATCATGGACTTCGTCAGTTGGGATGATGATTATTCCCAATATGATGGGAAAGTCATAAAAGCCATGTTCCAAAGCACCAACCAGATAATCGTTCATAATATGGAACTATAATCATCTATCATTCCAATCAAAAGAGTGTATTGTATCATGACTATACATCTATTGTTCTGATCTTATGTGATCAAGTGCTGTAATTACGTGTCATCATCTATATATATTCGTTCATCACCTATCCAAATTACAAGGTATATTGAGTGTATAGTGTAAAGTCATCCTCTATGTATATTTATACGGTACCAAATACATCAAAATATTTGGAAAATTCCATCATGACCTGTCATCATCTCTATTCAACTTGCAAAAAGTGTTCCGATCATGACCCTCCCCCAAAAACAAGGAACTGGGGAAACCAATTGAAGTTTGTTAGCCGCATCCCCATCCGCCTCCCATGTTACCGAAGCTTCCGAAGCCGTCCAAGGCGAAGCCAGCTCCATCGGGTCCAAAGGATGGAAAGGACTGCAACGAGAAGTTTCCACCGAAGGAACCTCCGGGAACAGAGCCGACACTTGGAGAGTCGGGGAAGATTTCAGGGACCCCCTTGATTGCTTGCGCTATTGCATTCTACCCTGGAATCAGAGGCTAGCTGGGGTCTGGGGCTCAAAACTCGAGGATTTCTAGAAAAGGAGTCAAAGAAGTGGTTCTCTTTTTTGGTATCCTACATATTCACTACAGTACATATATAGTGAATGTTCCACTCCAAGATGAACACAAAGGGCACCAGACTCATTTGAGGACTTTCCCAAAGCCAATTGTAGACTAGTTCTGATTGGCTCACAGATATTCCCATCAGTTCAAGGACGTTCATACGATGTCTATTGTCTATATCTATTACAGAGTTCGCATGAACAGTGGCGTCCTGACCCCGCTCTTCAACATCCTTGAAGCAACTTTAAGCATCAAACCATCAGGAAGTCATTAAGGCCCCTCAGTCACCCAAACAACTGTGCCCCAAACGAATGGCCCTCGTTCTTCCCTCTTATGATCCCCTTGATCAATGGTCACATCCCCCAACCAATGTCCCATTTGTTGGTCCGTTATAGCTACCATCCCATGATTCCTAGTAGGGGTCCAACGTTCGATCTTTTTCGTGGATATCATCCGTTACAATATGTTACAATCCCATCGTCTGCTTTAATCCTCCCATGTTTCATGCCAATCCCAGCATCCATTGATCCCAGGCCTTGTTCGCCCGTGACCTGTTCTTCCCCATCGTGCCATTCACCAAAGCTTGGTGTTACCACCTCCGGCAGCTTCTCGCGGCTGTGGCGGCGCCGGTGGCTCTTCTTGTGTCGACCCTCGTGGGCCTCCTGGGAAAAAGATCGGTTGAAATGTGCAGTTCACAGTTCACATGTGTTTGTGACATGTTTAAATCATCTTCACATCCCCAGATGTACTTAGACACTAGTTGTTTAATGTGTTTTTGCCTGAAAACAGACACATGTACCAGGTACCTCCAATTCTATCCACTCCCACCCAGCTCCTCATCCCAAGACGTGCTGGGCGATGCCGGTGTCGTTGCTGCCGGGCCCAGCGGTGCCGCGGCCATTGGCGCAGCAGCACCCGCCTTGATGTTCTGCTGCCTCTCCGCGTAGCGACTCACCACGTCGAAGAGTTGGGCGAAGCGCTCGGAGTCGCCATCTGACCAATGGGGGGCTGGTGGAAAACACTGGGGACGTTGCGAAGGGTGAGACACACTACTTTTGGGTCAAAAAGAGTGAAACTCAGGAGATAGAGAGTCTGATGTTGACATGAAAATTAGATGAAATATGATGAAATTACATTTGGAATGTGGAAATGGTCAGGGTATGTCAGGGGCCATCCTGGCAAGGAATCCCATCTGCCTGCAGCCAACTCTACTGCACGCTGCCATTGCTCCAATGTCGACTCAAAGTGGGCCTGTCAGTTTTCCAAATCTCCCCACTCAAATTTGGGTCAGCACTTGAAACTTTGCAACCTATAAGCCTTAGAACCTAATCCTCAGAATCTTCCTTGCCTGGGCTTCTCCAAACTCTGCACTTTGGAGTCCATGTTGTTCCATCGCCCTCTGCATTTCATCTGCCAACCTTCCCAGCGTCGCTTCGTTCAGGTCACTCGAGGAAGCTGACGGAGCAGCTGGGGCGGCCATACTAAACGCTCCAGCATCCGCAGGGGCGGGCGCCAGGGTCAAATACTCATAGGGCTGGTGGAATTGTATCTGTTCCTGTGGCAAAATCACAAAGAAGTCGGAGGATGGGTGTATTGCAGTGTTGGAAAGATGGCCCATCCAAGGTGTCGGCTAAAACTGTTGCTTGCATTTACATGTGCATTTTCCTTCAAGACTTGGGGATATTAAAAGTTCATCCCAATGTCAACTTTGGAAAAATGCATAAAAACACAACTTTCAGGATAATATTCTAGACATAGTAGAAGAATCCTCCTTTATCATCTATCCCCCCATAGATTTGATGGTCGTCAAGCCTACAAACGATGATGAGCAACCCAATGCTATCTACAATATTAGAAAATAGTATTTCATCAACTATGTCAGACTATATCTCCATGGTTTTCATGGTGAAACCACCATCAATTGGTGAAAATATGACCCCCCAAGGTGCACCACTTCGACCCCGTTGCCGTCCTTCATCAGCTCTCTCCAGGTGGCTGCGATCTTGGCCGCCCCGGTGCCAGGTGCAGAGCCCTCGTAGCGTCGGCCCCATTTGTCAAAGAGCTCCAAGGTGGCCTGGAAACGGGTCGCCAGGCGGAGCAACCAAAACGTTTGGGGATTTTAGATGGCATTTAAAGGGAATATAGGGGGGCCATCATGGGGATATGATATGTATGTATATATATATACACACATACAATTATTTATTATTTATTCATTTATTTAATACACATGGCTGAATTACAATAATTCACGAACCTGAAAATAACTGAAACGTGTTGTGGGTAATTCCCTTGATTAAACATCACTCCAGTGACGCCACTGTGATGTCATCATAATTCATCCAGATATATTATTTAATTACCAATTATATATATATATATGTATATGTATACTATCTGTGTATAATATATATATATAATATATATTGTATAGCTATGTATGATATCTGGTTTTGTCTGAGAATGATGAGGGGGAAATCCACGAAACCCAGCGGTCGATCATAATTTACCCCAGTTTGAGACACACCAAAGCTGCTAGGGCGGAGATTTGCCAAACATTTTCAGTTGTAACGGGAACAGTGAAATTTACCAAATGAGTTTGTCTGAAAATGGGGGATACCCATCAAATAGCCATGTTAATTGGGAAAATGATCAGAGTCCATTGGGATTGGGGGTGCCGTATTTGCGGACAAACCCAAATAAAGAATGTTAAGCCACTCAAAAATCTCAAAATAAACTGAAATCGATGTTTCCCTGTGACATCCTTTGACCATGACTCAAATTGCACACGGCCTGAAGCATCTCAATGTCTTTGGGACGACCTTTCGCCACCGATGATTGACCCCCACAATTTGTTTATATACATCAACCTCTGAAATCAATGGAAAAAACTCAGCTGCGCACGTTTTCGTCGTTCTTTCTCCTGGAAGCAGGACGCTACGACCGCATGGCCTAAGATCAGGTCTTTCCACCAAATCACGACCCATCTCATACGGACCATGATGATTCACCGTAAGTAACCATTGGAATTTATTTGTTACCCCCCATTTCTGGCAACCCAATGTGATTTATCGATCTCAATGCTCCCCCAACTTGCAGACCTTGGTCTTCTTCGCGTTGTTTTTGAAGAACTCCAGTTTTCTGTCTTCTGCTATCGCATCTGCCAACATGCCATTTTTCACATCCATAAGGTAGTCGAGCACCTCGACCGATTGGAAGCTGCAACCCATCTGAAGTTACTGCTCGTCACTAGTCAATGGGGATGTGGCATGCCAAATACGATTTTTTTTTACAATCAACCATGTTTTGCAAGCCACCAACCAGTCTAAGTCATCAAGTTCCTCTGTTTTTCCTCAATCCCAACAGCAATGAAAACTACAGCCGTTAAGCTCGCGATCAAGCTGCTTTTTCCTCGAGCCGCTTTGCTAGTAAGCGATACTATGATACATGGTGCTGGGGGCAAATGTGCGATTACACGTGAGCATGGTGCAGCGAGGCTGGCTGCGAAAGATTTGGCTCGACTGCTACGTCGGCCTTCACAGCCACAGCTCAAAAGTTGCACTAAGGATACACCAAACGCGGCTTTGTACCAATAAAATGATCTACCAATCTGGGGCATATCGACTGAGCCAAGGTTCCCATTCGACTCGGCCATTACAGTATACCTTTTGATACCATTTGCCCTGCCACCATTCCCATGTCTTGTGGCGCTCCACATCTGGTCGAGGCGAGTCAAGCCATTCCCTTCCGGTAGAAATCGATGAGGATGAAGATGCTCCAGTAGTAGTTGGGGCAACCGGCTTAGCGATGCCTCGTTTTGCCACAGGAGCTTGTCCTTGGGCTGCAGCTTCGGCTTTGCGCTTCTTTGCCTTTGCTCGTTCACTCTGCTCGATCTTTTTGCGGATGGTTTCCTCAAAGATCTTCTCATTGGTGTTTTTGATACCATTGAGGTGACGCTCAGCATTGCTCACATCCACACCAATGATGCCCAAGTTCGTCAACAACAGATTGTGTTCTGGATGATGCCCTAAGTAGTCAACGTACTCTCCCTCGGAATAGATTTGGGTCTTGTACATGTACAGCCATCTTTGGCCGATGTACCGGAAGCGATCCGGCAGCATGCCAATGTGGTCAAAGTCCAAGTAAACCAATCGCATGGCTGCGTGCTCCTTTTGGCTGGACTCCGACCTGTGCACGTGTGCGATCAGGTTTCGGGAGATGAGCACAACAAAGAAGATCATATCGTTCACAATCGTGCTCATTCTCGCCTTCATTGAGAACTGTCTCGGCGAACTCAGGGTCATAGGTGAACCTGTCCAGGACGGAGTGGAAGCCAAGTCCTTTTGCTCTCTCAACGCGTTGTCGGGCACGATGGACTATATCGGCCTCAGGACTGATGCTTCCTCTTGCCTGATCGTCGATGACACCCAAGTTGCGAAGCTGGTCATCTGTGATCTCCTTGGGAAAGTCTCCGCGGAAATCGTACTTGAAACCGAGCTCGCTCAACCGATCCTTGTGCCTGTCAGCAATCTTGGTGCGATTGGCCGCGGTGGTCTCGAGCACGAGTCCACAGATGTCGCACTCAACAACTTGGCCTCTGAAGGCCTTGGCAAAGCATCTTTCACAGGTTCCACTCTCGAACTTGGCTTGCTCGAGCTTCAGTTGGCCCTGCATGGATCTTTCCGGGGCGTTCTTTGGATACGTCTCCTTCCCATGACTTTTCGGTGCAGCGCCTTCTCCTTCTCCACCATCCGCGGCCTTTGCAGCTCCTAGAGGAGGCACATGAAAAGGATGTTCCTTCGGCCCACACTTGGGTGCTGGTGGCTTTGTTGACGGCTTCACAAAGTGTGCCTTCGGCAGAGCAGCTGGCATAGCTTTGGGCTCGCCTTCTGTTTCACGTTGGAAAAGGTCAGTGTTTTCATCGTTCATGTAGATAAGATTGTCCTGGACAAATTGGAAGTATGCTTGGACCTGTTGACGGTAAATCCCATCATCAATCGTCATGGGCATGGGATTTACCCAGCCGTGTTTCGGGCTGTGTTGCTTGACGAAACCATTGATCCAGTAGCAGGGACTAACGATGACGAGTGTCCAGGGGATGTTGACCCTTCCATGGCTCAGTAGATAGAAATACAGGTAATCCCAACAACGATGAAACCTACAACCGGTAAGCTAGCGGTCAAGCTGCTTTTTACTCGAGCCGCAATGCTAGGAAGCGATACTATGATACACGGTGTGTGAGGAGAGGCGAATGTGCAGTTGCAGTTCCTACTATCATTAAAAAAAAGATCAAGTCATCTCAAAGTCTACGAATTCTAAGTCATCAGGTTCCCACTGTTTTATCACTTTGTGTTGCTCAAAATCACCAGCTTCCACCTTCATCATGGCTACCTTGGTAGCTCCACTTCTGCTCCTTAGTGGGTTCATGGTTTCGTGGGGAAAACCAATGGATTTTGGCGCGGGCTTCCCAGCTTTTCCTGTGATTTAAGTTGAATAATATTGGGAAAACAAATCATATATTTCTCAAGACCTGTTTGGATGCTATTGCGAAAGTGGTATGGTTTGAGCCGGGAAGGTCCCACTTTTTCCTCACCTGGGGGAATTCTGAAGAGTCAAAATGGTTTATCAATTCTCCACAATCCCAAAGAAAATGAATGGCTTCATGCCAAAAATCATCCAGAGAAAACTGCAGTTACCTGGGTCTTAAAATTTGAAGCAGGCCCGTCTCAGCAACTCCCGTGGTTTTCCCTGTCTGGATTATTTATGATATGAATCGCTTTTCCCCATCTAGATGGCCATAAATTGTAGCTAAAAGATGCTAAAAGTGGGAACCAACCCATACATCCCCAATTGTTGCTGAAATCTCTATTGTTGTCCATTTCCCCATGGTAGTACCTAGCCCCCCCATTATGATTCATGCCCCAATTTTCTTGGTTAAATCCACGTTTATTGATGCTTAAATCACCATGTTTGATCACGTTTCATGGTGAATCCCCAGGAAGCTCCTGGTGAAATCCCCCATAGTTTCCTGGTAAAATCACCATGTTTGATGATGAAATCACCAGTATTCACCATGTGGCTATGGATCAATACCTATAAGTACCATTTTTAGTGGGATGAACATCCATTTACCAGCTATTTTGATGTGAACTACAGGGGTACCAGGGTTTTGACACACTGCCATGTGAATTTCCCTGGTGAAATCTGCCAAGCTGCTGATCTTTCATCACTCGGATGCAGCGACTCAAAGTGGCGCTCCCAGCATCTCGGCGTGCCAAATCGTAGCGCCTGCGAAGGAAAATCCATGGGAAAAGTGGTGGGAAAATCATGGCGAGAAATGGGGAGGACATCATGGGGATTATCATGGGATTATCCTGGGGATTTCCAAAAATTGGATCAAAACCCATAAAAAGCCTAGGCTTGATATGAGGAAACTGAGAAATTCTAAGCTTGGTTTAATCGTCAAACTTTGGGATTTCATTGGGGGTTCACCATTTTTTTCTAGCCGTCAATGGATTGATGTCATTATTTCAACCATCAAGCAACGGGGGGGTTCCTGCAGATTTTCCGTTGATCCATTCAGAGAAAGCCAATCCAATCCCAAAAATATGAAACGCTGTAGAAATCAACCAAAATCACCTTATGATGTACATCTTTTTTGGAAGATATATAAATCGCTTCTTGTTGGAAGATGTGCAGCTGAACTTCGCCAGAAGCTCTTTACATCATGATATAACATCAATCGTGGCACCTTAGGAGTTCGAGTCGAACATTTTCGGTGTTGATCAGCGATGGGTCTTCCGCAATGTCCTTGGGCGGAAGCGGTGCTTGGGAAAGTCTGAGCTCCTTGCTACTCTGCATTTATGAAAAGGAATACTGGATAGCCACAGCTCCAAACTTTTCAAGCCACTCTTCAAATATCATCAAATCATATCAAATCATATAGAATCCATGGTTTATCATGGTTTCTTGCAGATTTTATCCAGGACCATCTCTCCATATCTCCGACCTGGCCTGAATGATCTCTTCCAGTTCTTTGCTGGCTTCCAGGATGCCGGGGGACATCGGCGGGGACCTGGGTCTCCGTGGTCTCCGTTGATGGGGGACACCTCCGATGGTTGATGTAAAGCGATGAGAATCCATGGGGATTTTCTATGTGGGGATGGGTCAAAACCCTGGTACCTAGTGAACCCCAAAATAGCTGGGATTTATGGATGTTCATCCCACTAAAAATGGTATTAATAGGTATTGATGCATAGCCATGTGGCTATCCTATTTTCGCACAAACCTAGCTGTCCAATTTTGATGATGATTATGATGCTACTTGGACTCTTTAATCCCAATTCAGTAGTTCGTCCCTGGATGCTGCAGGCAACATGTTCAACGGCCTTGATATAGTGGTCAGATTTATTGTGTGGTGATCTGCGCTGGGCGCATCTGGGCACTCCAGCCCTTCATCGGACGCCATGATTGCTCTGAGTTGCAGGCAACCCTTGAAATCTAGCCCAACTTTATGTGTCCCTACGTCCCGTGTTCGCTCTGTGTGGCTTGTTTCATGGCTGGTCGCTGCGGGAATCCACTGTTTTTGATGAGTTTGACTAGTCAATGGCCTGATGGGATTCAGTGATCCTCATGATGTCCATCTGCAGAAAATTCTGCGAATCAGAAGGGAGTGCCACGACAGACCAGGGAGTCGCTGTTTCTCGTACCCAACTGGATCAGGCAAATTAGCACATGGTGTTGAGTAGCACCATGACAAGAACTACAGAGTTCAGTCGGAATATGTCGGAATATGCATTGCCCGAAAGTAGATGCTACACCAACGTACACCAACCTTTATCTTTGACACAGAACATCATGGACAACCACATGGATGGTGCACATCACAGCGAGCACCCCGTTGTCACGTTGTCACGTTGTCCTGGTGGTGAAGGAAAGCATTCATCACCTGATCCCACCAGGCATGAGATGACAAGATTCACAAGGTGCTTGGCAATCAAATGGCTAATCAAAACCCTGTACCTCTGGTGAACATCAAAATAGCTGCACCAAAAATCTCCCAAAAATCATGGGAAATCCATGAAGAAAATCATGGGAAATGAGAGGTTTTCATCCCCCAAAAGATATGGAAAAACCCATAGGTTTTGACTCCCCAAATCATCGCTGCCTTCAGTTCAACTTGATCTGCAAGGACCTCCCCGGACGCGCTGGCCTGGCAGTCAAGGGAATCCCTGCGGTTTAGCTATTGAAAATGGTGATTTATAGTGGATTTACCCATGAAAATGGTGATTTATAGTGGATTTACCCATTAAGAATGGTGATTTATAGTGGATTTACCCATTAAAAATGGTGATTTAGAGTTGATTTACCCATTAAAAATTGTGTTTTAGAGTTGATTTACCCATTAAAAATGGTGTTTTTCCATAGTTTTTTGTATGTTTACCAGAGGGTAAGCCCCATAAATATCATATCACTTCTTTCTTGAACCACTGGATGGCGGCATCTCTGTTCTGTTGCGTCTTAAGTTTCAATCTTTCTAAGCCGTAAGCCTCCCAACCGCTGTAGGGATACTAATCCAGGCAACAAGCATCAATAAGTATTATGTTAATATAATCTTATCAGTTTTTATCATATCCCTCCTACAATTGCCTGCTATATCCCTATTACATCCTGTTACAATATCCAATGGATTGGTTTAGGGGAAAATTTACAGGAAAACCCCATACTTAATGGTAAAAACCATGGTTTCCTGTAAATTTTCCCTTAAACCAATCCATTGAAATATTATCAAGCCCTATCATAATCATATCAATTCGTATTTCAAACCACCTCCACGGCATCGACCACGAAGGCAGGAAAACGCGCGTCGCGCATGGCCTGCTTTGAGGCCCAATGGCACAATCAACTGGGATTGAAACAACGAGAAGGCCTGGGGAAAAGAACAAAATATGGATATCCCACCAATATTTAGAAAATTTAGAGATTTATCTGAGCCCAAATGGGCATTAAAGAAGCCATAATGGGGACAGTAATTATGGGATATAATGAGACATAATGGGATATTAATACGACCCAACAATAACTGATAAGATGGAGTTTGCCCAAATCTGGGGCATTGGCACCCAATATATGGCAACGCTCAGGAAGTTTATGATCAACCATAGGACTCTATAGGATTTTGGGGCTTTCAAACAAAGCCCTTGTCTCCTTCGGTCCTTCAAGATGCCACAAATGGTGACTGAGGAGCCACACTTTGCTCACCACATCTTTGACGGCGGGACCCTGAGAAACACAAGCTATGGGAAGAGCTGGAAGCTCAAGAAATTCATACAGAAGTGCAATGAACTCAGATGAACTCAGCATAGAAATTCTGCCTGAACTCATCCTCAAACCAGCCCAGCGCGAATCACAACACCGAGGTTCCAGCACTGGGGGATCCCAAAGCAGAGCTTTGTCCTCTAGTGTTAATTCCGGTTCCTGGCGGGGCAAGGGCCCAGAAATGATGAACGTTGGCCACGATTCGTGTGCTTGTGAAATGGCCATCAACCCTTCGGCATCACTGGCATCATGGCATCTTCAATCAATTTGATCGATTTCCGCCAACAGAAACAAACTGAGCAGCAAAACTGCCACGGGTTTCAGCTGCTTTACCTCCAAATAGAATGTAAAACAGCTTAAAACATGCAATAAAATCAAATTCCTGAAAAAATCTGGGATTCGGCGGCCTCCCAGAAGCGCTTTGGCTCCGGTCACTTCTCTCAGTTCCTGCAAAAAAGAGCCCATTCGGTCATCACCTGCCTAGTGGAGATGCCGCTGGGATTTATCCTGACATAGCTCTTTAAAGTCGTAAAGATTCGAGAAAATATTTAACTTAAGATTCAAATTGATCATAGATCTGAGTTAGGAACTCAAAGTGAGTTCATTAAACCAGTATATATCATATATTATAATATTATATATTATATATATATCATATATTGTAATATATTATTTATATATATATAGGGTTAAGCCATGGATGTCCTTGTTCTCCAGGTCGCGGCCGGGCTGGAGAAGGATGGCCACAACACCTGGTAGGCTGGGAGGGATGGCGGCGGCCTATCCCAGAGATTTTTTATGGCTGATGCCACAAATTGATACCCTCTGGTAATTTAAAGATAGCTATGGATTTAAATAATCCATATGGCTATGTTAATAAATTTAACATAGCTATGGAACTGATAACTGATAATGGACTTAACATAGCTATGGAAAATCCATTATAAAGGAGGTTTTATTGGGAAAATATGGAAAATCATCTGCAAATGGTCCATTTTCCAGTTCGCTATGTGAAATTACCAGAGGGTAATCAGAGACAGAAATGGGAGAGTAAAGATGCGGCTGCCTATCAGAGACAAAATTATTCTGAGGCTAGCCCCCTCAATTATAGATCATCTAATAATGGGCTAGGCGCCTCTTTAAGACAAAAATTGGGAGAGTAAAGTAATGACCGAATTGGGATAATTGGGAAGGATATAAAAGCAAAATAATTGGGATAGGAATAACATGGAATGACCATGGTAGAGACTTTCTGGTGGGTCAAATAGGATCATCCCCAAAACATGGACTGGGAAATGCCTGCAACCACCAACCAGATTAGTACTTGTGAACTTATGAACTCGTAAAGTTTCTTTGGTAGGAGTTCATGGATTTTCCGCCTGGATCTTAGATGCCTCGTTCTCTGCACTTTTGAGAAAATCATAGAGGTCAGAAACACCATGGGAAGTGGAGAAAAGGCAGGCAGTCAGCCGGCTGCCTTCTCCTTTCGTGTAGCCATCTGATGAAGCGTCAAAAACCTGATCCAGGGCATCCGGGTCACAGGTCATCTTTTTCCCTCCAATTACCCTCTGGTTGTCAAAATAGCTATTGAAAATGACCATTTATAGTGGATTTTCCCATTGAAAACGGTGATTTTCCATAATTAATGATGTTAGTTTACCAGGGGGTACATGGCCCTGGTTCTGTCAATGCTGCCAGCAGTTCTTCACTCCAACCATCGATCCGTCGTGGGATTCCTCACCCCACCATGGGGATACCACCACGGGTCCCACCTTCGTTCGCCCGGAGCGGGAGATAAAGCCCGCTGCGCACAGCAGCAGCAGTTCACCAAATGGATTCTGGCGGCGGGTTCCGCACAGACGCCTTTCACCTCTGCCACCACCATCCGTTTCAGAAATGCCATGCAGAAAAACGATCCACCAGACCACCATTTTTCACCATCAACCAGCCATCAACCATGAAGCAACCACCATTAACCACGCCATGGCCATGGCCTGGGCACCTCCCTGCATCCCCAAACTGCTGCCAGTGTGCCTCGATCCAGGTAGCGCTACTGGCCAAGGCCGCATCACAAACTCCTTCGCGGAGAGCACGGACCTAACAGCGAGAAACGAGGACCCGGCTGTGGGTTGGCTTGAAATGTTGCAGGATGCTTCAGAAATTCATTTTTTAACTCCTGGGATATACCAATCTCCAGGATCACTGCAGAGTGCCCGGCTGCCGTGTCTGATGCCACAAGGCCAGAGGAATCTCCAGTGTCAATGGCTAGGCAAGGTCCATTGAACTTCAGACCATACGCACACCTGCCAGACAAGGTTTCCAGGTTTCCATGGATTTCCCACAATGGGGGACCCCAAAATCACTCAACATGTGTCATTTGTTTGAATGATAAATCAGTGAAATGAATGATTTCGGGATACATCAAGTTTAGGAAACACCCGTACGGCTCAGGATGATTTGTTTGCGTCCCAAAATCCATCGATCGATTGACACCACATGCGTTTTTGCGATGCCATCTGAGTTCAAATCCAGGCAGCTACAATTGGGCTGCAAATCTCCTACCCCTACAACCAGGCAACCAGCTATCTCTGTTGCAAATCTCTGTTGGCTTTTGCCGCAGCCCACCTATTCACCAGGGCAGCATTGGAAGTGTTCGCCCAACTATGCCTTGATCCGGTGGATCCGATGATATTCAGCAAAGGCTGAGCTGGTCATCCAGCAGTATACATAGATAAAATAGTATCAATAGACAAATGTGGTATATGATATTGTGTTATATCATTTTTTACGAGAGTGTGTTATTCATATTATGTGTATAATATTATGTGTATATATATATTATATTCATCATTTATCACCATCTATACATCTGAAGGGGTACAGAGTACAGCTTCCGACGAAGAACAGCCCAGCTGTAGTTCATCTGTCATCATCCATCTGAATGGGTAAAAATGCCCTTCAACAAACCGCCTCTTGCGCCGCCCAGCCAGGGCGCTTGTTGATCCTCACATCAACATCCTGCTGCTGGCCTGGCCAAAATGGCTCTTATAGATGCTGGGAGTTCTGGATGTTCTGATATTCATCAGAAAAGAAACAGTTTGTCCATCTGGCTCCACGAAAAACGCCTGTCAAGCCAGAGTAGATGCCCCAGCACAAAGAGCGGCTGT